TATTAAATATATATACCTATTTATTTATATTATATTATTAATTAATTAATTAATTTATTTATTTATTTGGGAAACAATAATAATACAACTTTTTAATTAAATACAACTCTTCTTATTAGATTTCATAAACTTTTGCCAGAGATCTTACGACTCATACAACGATAAGTATTTACAGTATTTATAACAGTTCAATCTATTTGCCATAATTCTTGTATTTGCTCGCACTTCGAGTCGTTTTCGAACAAAGCTTCCTCAGCACGCGATAACCTACATACACAAATACACACACGTGCATATATACACACGACCGACGATTTCACAGGCGAATCAGAACGAGGCGATCGAGCGCGTCGCTCCACTGCGATCGCGTTAACAAACCCCAATCAAATAATTCGCGGGCCACCGTTCCGATCTATCCGGAATGATAGCGTTTAAAGCAGCGAAAGGTAAATTAACCGGCGGCGATGTCGGTCGACCGGGTCACCAGCGCGGAAATACATACATACATACATACATACATACATACATACATAGAACCAGTATCGGCGGCGGTAGGGAAAACGTGACCGCGGCTACTCACGATTTGCACATATTGGCTGGTCGCGGAGCGTGAAACCGACGGAGAAATGCCGGGCGTAGTTGTTGCCGCATACGGATTTACACCGCGTTTTCAACGATTACGGGATAGACGGTGGGTATGCGCGGCCTTGAAATCCCTCCGGCTCCCGATTTATTCCTCTCCTCGTTGTTCCGTTCCTTTCCTTCTTTTTTTTTTTTTTTCCACGCCAGCCGACACGAACGCCTCCGTGTATCTCTGCGAACACGTTCCCGGAACTGTGCATGTTCGCGTTTGTCATTCCGCGTCAACGTTGATCACGATTTTCCGTGACGCGCTGCTAATCCCGACCCCCGGTCTACTTGTATCGGGAAAATCTGGCTGTCTTCCGTTAAGACCTCGAAATGCTTTCACGAGTTTGTTGTCAGTCTTTCGCGTTTCGGAGTAACGATTTTTGTTTAGGGTGTTCACATGTCAGGTTTAGTCGAATTTTTTAATTAATAAAATAGAATAGTAT